ATTTTCTAGAATCACAGAACTCGAGTGCGATTCAGCACCGGCAGCGTGCCTGAATAATATTATATGTTTAAAGGCAAGACTAGAAATGAAACTGTTTCTCCCAGTAAAAGAATAGGAGATGAACTGTGAGATTGAAGATAGCACTCTGTATTCGAAAAGCGAGTGGCACCCAAACTCTTACCACCCTGCCACTGTGGCGTTTGAACCCCCTCAGTGGGACAGCTCACTTGCCTGGCTGCCAGTGACTGAACCCGGGTCAGCAGCGTACAAGGCAAGTGCCCTAACCGCTGTTTGATGGCTACAGCCCCACTTTTAACATTTTTAAAATCCAAAACAGTACAGAAACTCCTGTTCATTTCCACCTAAAATAAAGAAAAGAAATGCATTTTGTCACTAATGATACAGCAAAGATGTCTGAAGGTTCCAGAAACTTGTGGAGCCAGGCATTCATAGCAATTGAATTATTGAGCTTTTGAGAGATACACAATCTCCAAGCCTGCATTTTAATTGAAAAAAAAACCCAGATTTTTAATTTTTTTGAGTTTTGGGGCCACATCCGGTGGGACTCAGCTCATTTCTGGATCTGTGCTCTGGAATCACTAGTGTAGTGGCTATGGGGACCATATTGGGTGCTGCGGATTGAACCTTGATCGGTCGCGTGCAGGGCCAGCGCCCCACCCACTGTACTATCTCTCCAGCCCCTCAAACTGCGATTTTACAAAGATTTTGTCGGGACTTGCAGTTTGCTGTGGGCTCCGTGCACCCGTGCAGTCAGTCCTTTAGTGAACAGCGCTCAAGATCCTGGAACGTGGAGCCGTAGCGACAGTACAGCTGGTAGGGCATTTGCCTTGCATGCAGACTCACTTCAATCTCCCGCATCACATATAGATCCTCAGTGTCACCGGGACTAATCCCTGAGTACAGGACCCAGGAGTAACCCCTGAGCATTGCCGGGTGTGACCCCCAAACAAAGAAATCCTGCAGCCACAGGGTGAACATTTGAGTTCACACTCGGTGGAGGAAATCTACTTCGGACAAGGGCAGGACGTGGTTCGCAAAATCAAGAGAACCAGAAGAAAATCTGTGTCTTGAGACCCCAAACACATTCATGGACTTGTGGAATGCAGGGAGCAGCAAAATTTTGCCATCCTCCCTAGAAAAGAGCCCAGTGTTTTTCCTTCAAAAGGTGTGCTGTGAGGGGAGAGTGGGGTGGGGGGTCAACTTTTCCCTTTAGTAAGAACCCTTGAGGATTTCACTTTGCACTTAGCCAGGTGCAGACTGCTTGGAATATAAAAGATCAGTTACAAATGCGCAACATAGGTTGGCGTCGGTTGGAGGTCCCAGGGGAAATGAGTGGGGGAGGGGGGGCTGGGAGCATCAACAGTATGTATGGCTCGGGGCTCTGGGTAGACATCCCTGCCCCCTTTTAATGGTGCGGAGAAATGTAAGAATCCTTGAGGGTTTCACTCTGCACTCAGCTCTATGTTGAATGCTCTCAGCACTCAAAGATCAGTTACAAATGTGCAACATAGGTTGGCGTCGGTTGGCGGTCCCAGGGGAAATAAGAGGGGGCTGGCGGCCTCTCCAGCAGGACGGCTTAGGACTCTGGGTACAAATCCCTGCCCCCTTCCAATGGTGCGGAGAAATGTGCAACAGGGAAATTCAGCAACGGCTGCACCTGGTGAGCTATGTGGCGACCTGGATGCCTCTTTTGGGCTGCCCTGAGGGTGAAACATGGTCCAGCTGTGCAAAGTAAACTGAGCCCCAGTTGAAATGGGAACATTCTGTCCTATCCACAACAGAAAAGAATGGGGGGGGAAGGGGGAGGAGGTGGGCCCAGCCTGGTGGGGGAGGGGTGCCTGCAGCTAGTGCGCAGCCGCCAGTGGGCTGGTCCCATCTCTCCAACCAATGAGCGATTCCCAACATCATTTCCAGCTCAATCTGGTTTGAGACGCTCGTGGTGTCGGTTGGAGGTCCCAGCGGGAACAAGCGGGAGCCTGGAGGTTTCTCCAACAGGTACGGCTTGGGGCTTTGGGTACAGAAAGCAGCCCAAGGAGTAGAGTATCTCCCCGCCATTGACGCTTGCATCCCAGAGGCTTGTGGCTATTGGTTTTTTGCTGAAGCGGGATTCCTCTAGATCAGACCTGGTGTGCCTCCATGCACTGCCGTCCGCGGGCATTAAGATAGGTCTGCCAGGACCCGTTCCATCTGAACCTTGCCCAAAGCCATCACATTTAGGGCCAGGGATGATTTTCCTTGAGATACATTGGTCTCAGCCCTTGTGAACTGACCTCTGCTGCTCTTCCAATACATTCCTGCTCCCAGAACTGAGACTGTGTAAGGTACGGAGTGTGGAAAAGGGTGGGGAACTTAGTGAGGTGGACTTACGCTGGGCTGTGGAGTGAAGTTTGGACTTGGGATGGCTTAGGACCAAGTAGGGCAGGGTTTCGGACAGGGGGGAAACTTGGTGAAGGAGTGGGATCTAGCAACTTGGTGGCAAGGGTTGGGTCGCGGAAGAAGCAGGACATGGGGCTCAAGGTTAAGATTTCTGGGAGGTTGTGCTTGGGTTAGCATTGGGTGTTTAAGGTTGGGCTTGACTATTGGTTGGGCTTGACTGGTGGTTGGACTTGACTGGTGGTTGGGCTTGGATGGTGGTTGGGCTTGGGTGGTGGTTGGGCTTGGTGGATGGTTGGGCTTGGCGGATGGTTGGGCTTGACTGGTGGTTGGGCTTGACTGGTGGTTGGGCTTGACTGGTGGTTGGGCTTGAGTAGTGGTTGGGCTTGGTGGATGGTTGGGCTTGGCTGATGGTTGGGCTTGACTGGTGGTTGGGCTTGACTGGTGGTTGGGCGTGGTGGATGGTTGGGCTTGGCTGATGGTTAGGCTTAGGTGACGGTTGGGCTTGGGTAAAGGTTGGGCTTGAGCAATGTGGGTTTGGGCGTAGGAGTTGAAACTTGGGCTTGGGTGGGCATTTGTGCTGAGGCTTGGACATGAGTGGGCATTAGTGTTGAAGATTGGGCTTGGGTGGACACTGAGTTGGAGCCTGGGCTTGGGCAGACATCAGTGTTGAGAGTTGGGCTTGGGTGAAGGGTGGGCTTGGGCAGAGGTTGGAAGCAAGGGTTGGGCTTGGCCACTTGGAGTAGGACTTGGAAAGGGGTGGAACTTGGCTATACAGATGCAGTTGTATACACAGTATGACTCAGTACTCACGGATCACCTTTGGCGGTGCTTATGGGACCCATATGAGGTTCCAGGAATTGAGCAAGGGTGGACCGCATGCAAACCAAGTGCCCTATGCACTGTACTATCCCTGTAACCCCAGCTCCAGGGTACTTTGGAATACCTCTGCACACTCAGAATTGGAGCTACCTGAGCAGGGGTATGTGGGACCAGAACCTTAGCAAAAATACTTCATCTGCTCTCTTGCCTTAAACAGATCTTGTGTGAGAATGGCTGCAGACCCCGGGTGAGGACTTCCCAGCTTCACAGAGCTAAAAGATGGAGTATTGAGCACTGCATTTGGAACTCTGCAGGTAAACTTCACTAGGTATTGGCTAAATTTTCCCATTCCGTGGTCACTGCTTATTTTGAGGTGCAGAAGCTTTTAAGTTTATTGTAGTTCATTTGTTTATCTTTGCTTCCACTTACATGGTCAGTGAGTGATTTTCATCTTTGAAGATGCCTTTAGCTTCGATCTCATAGAGGGTCCTGGCTAACTTTTCCTCCATGTATCTTATGGATTCAGGTCTGATGTTGAGGCATTTAATCCATTTTTACCTGATTTTGTTGCCTGTTGTTAGAAAGTGTTCTAAGTTCGTATTTATTTTTGCATGTAACTGCCTCGCTTTCCCAGAACCACTTGTTGAAGAGGCTTTACTTGCTCCACTTCATATTTCTTCTTTATCAAAGATTAAGTGATCATGTATTTGAGGATCCATGTCAGGATAATCAAGTCTATTCCATTGGTCTGCGAGTTGGTCTTTATTCCAATGCCAGGCTGTTTTAATTATTACCACTTTGTAGTATGGTTTGAAGTTGGGGAAAGTGATGCTTCCGATTTTCTTTTTCCCAAGGACTACTTTAGGTATTTGTGGGGGTTTATTGTTCCATATGAATTTCAGAAGTGTTTGATCAATTTCTTTGAAATATGTCATGGGTATCCTTATAGGGATGGCATTGAATCTGTGTAATGCTTTGGGGAATATTGCTGCTTGGACAGTGTTAATACTCACAATCCATGAGCAGGGAATGTGTTTCCATATCCTCATATCCTTTTATTTGTAGTGTTCTGTAGTTTTCTTCATATAGGTCTTTCACCTCTGTACTTAACCTGATTCTGAGGTACTTGATTTTCTGGGGCATAATAGTGAATAGGATTGTTTTCATAGTATCACACTCTTCTTTTTCATTATTTGTATATTGGAAAGCCATGGACTTTTGTGTATTGATTTTGTAACCTGCCACTTTATTATACAAATATATTGATTCTAGGATCTTGTTTATAGATCACTTAGGATTTTCTTAGTATCATGTCATCTGCAAATAGTGAATGCTTGATTTCTTCCTTTCCTGTCTTTGATATCTTTTTCTTGCCTAACTGCTATGGTGAGTACTCCAGTACTATATTGAGTAGGAGTTTGTGAGAGTGGGCAATCTTGTCTTGTGTCTGATCTTAGAGCGAAAACTATTAGTTTTTCCCCATTGAGGATAATGCTTGCTGTGGGCTTGTGGTAGATAGCTTTGACTATCACAATCAATCACAACCATCCTGTTATTCGTCGATTGCCTCGAGCAGGCCCCAGTAATGTCTCTTCATCCTAGCCCTGAGATTTTTTTTAAGTGCCATATTCAAGGCTCTTTCAGAGTTAGGAGAATGAGACCCTTCATTGTTACTGGTATTTGGCATATTGGGTACGCCACGGGGAGTTTGCCAGACTCTGCCGTGTGGGCAGGTTACATTCGGTAGCCTGCCAGTTTCTATAAAGTAGGAATGAGATGGTAAGATGTCGCGTAGCCGTGAATGCGGCCATGCGCTTCCGGGAGCTGGGTTTTATAGTCTCTGAATCTTGGCCGTTGATAGGATTACACGGCGCCAGGGGGCCAGTTGGTGGGTGTGACCCCCGCCTACTGGAATATGGAGGATCTGGGTGGAGGATGCCCAGCTCCAATTTGAGTAGACTTGGAGATCTCGGCCCTGGAACCCGCGTAGCTTTGTTCCTCTGCCGGTACCTTCATGTGTGCGGAGAGTGGTCTTAGCATGGTGGTGGCTGGTTCTGGAGGTCTTTGGCTGCTGGAGCCCTGGTCAGGGCGGGGAGTAAAACTCAACCCGCTCCCCTCCAAGGGGCCCCAGGGAGGACAGCCAGGCGTGGGGGCAGGAGACTCTGCGCTGTTCTCAGCTTTGACTATATTGAGGAAATTCCCTTCTATTCCCATTTTGTCCAGAGTTTTTGTTATAAACAGGTGCTGGATCTTGTCAAATGATTTCTTCCTTTATATCTTTGTCTTAGTTCCTTTATGGCTTTTTTTTTCTGGATTCCAGTTTGGAAACCTGAGCCCCTGTTTTTGCAGCACTCCATCCTTGTTCTCTCCCCCACCTCCCATGTTACTGGAGCATTTTGTTAGCTGGAGGATAGTATTATTACTTATTGCTGCTTGGGGTCCTGAGAAATCCACGATCATGCCAGCAAGTCTTCTCGGCAGGGCTGCACGGCCAGCAGTTGCACCCCTGTTTCTCAACTGTCAGACATTGCCGAGAAAGAGGGATTCCATGGCTCCTTTTCCCAGCCTTTTCCCCAGTGAAGAGGACTGTGTGCCAGGCCTGCCCAACCATGAGTGGGAGTGGGATGAAATCCTTGTCCTCTTCTGCCTGTGGGCCTTGCCAGTGTCTCCAGGCACAGGGCCTGTTTATGACACTGGCCTTTTATTCCCCACAGGACTCAAAGCTTGCAGCCAGCTCCTTGAACTTTGTGGAGGACACCCCTCTGGAGGTCAGCAGGGAGGGGATGAGAGTGTGGGAGCTTGCCTTTTGGAAGGCCCTGAATAATCTTCCCTGCACAAAATAATTGGGCAGGGGAGTCTGGGAAGCAGAGACTGAGCATCTGGGAGTGGATGGTGGGATAAGGGAGGGATCTCGATGGGGCTTGGGAGGGTGCTAATGATACCCTTCATTCCATTTGCGTTACAGGCGTTGAAAAGCCGGGGTGCTTCTACCTGCTTTGGCCATAACTCAGAATCCTTTGCGTTTGGCTCAGACTCTCAACTCCCCTCTTAGGAAGTGGAGCAGTGGCGGTTGTGCTGTTATAGGACTGGTGCAGGGAGACGACATGGACTCCAAAAAGGGTGTACTGATCGTGGGGATCCCCCTGGAGTGTACTGAGCGCGAAATCTCAGAGACGGTGAGGATGGGCTTGCACCCGCTCACTGCCTACAGGCTGCTGAGCAGGATTTTCAGAAGGGAGGACGGTGCTAATGCTGTCTTCCTTGAACTGGCCGAAACTGTCAGTTACAGTATGCTGCCCAGTCAGATACCAGGAAGGGGGGGCTTTTGGGATGTGGTGGCGACACCCCATAATTTAGATGTTGAGTTTCTCAGCCGGCTGAACAATTTTCTGAAAGATGAGGACCGGAGATCGACAGATGTGGCTCAAGCCTTGGGGTATGATCTTCCCCTCCAGGACACACAGCCAGAGAACTGGGCCCAAGTCCAGACCGAGGTTCCACAGCTTCTGAGTGAGAATTCGTGGTACCGGAAGCTGAGTGTATTTTCAGGTGACAACCACACAGGCCCAGAAGCAGAGAACTTTGAGGTTTGGCTGGAGCAGGTCACTGAGATTATGGCAACCTGGCAAGTGTCTGAGGCGGAGAAGAGGCGGCGTCTGCTGGAGAGCTTGCGGGGCTCTGCGCAGTCCATCATGCGGGTGCTAAAGGCCAACAACGAAGCCCTCACCACGGAGCAGTGTCTGGATGCCCTGAAAGAGATTTTTGGAAGCAAAGAAGATTATCGAACGGCGCAATTTCAATTCCTGCAGAGCTTCCCCATGCCGGGAGAGAAGGTCTCTTCCTTCTTGCTCCGCCTCGAGCCCCTGCTGCATAGGGCTGTGCAGTGCAACCCCCTCTCCACTCACAGCACAGACACGATCCGTCTCAAGCACACCCTCGCTCGCACCTCCCTGAGCTGCGCACTCCAGAGCAGGCTGGAGGTTCTGGATCAGCGAGGGTGCCCTCCCACTTTCCTGGAGCTCATCAGAATGGTCCGCGAGGAGGAGGCGTGGGAGGCCATGATGTCGGCGAGGCAGGAGGCCCAGCAACAACTCTCCGGGGGCCACTCGGCAGCAGCGGACTGTTCCCTCGTGCTGACAGAATTCGCCGACACCAGCACCCAGACCCTGAGTCGCATGTACTACAGAGAGGAAAGCAAGCCCAGGCAGTACGCTAGTCCCGCTGGTCCCGGGGCTGGCCAGCAGCTTGAGTCAGTGCAGGCCTTTGAAGTTGAGATGGAAAAGGAGTCGGGAAACGAGCTGGGGGCTGGGGCTCTGAGCCACCCCACGCCCTAGGAATCAGTGGCTCAAAAGGTGCAAGCAGGCAGAAGAAAGGCATGGTGGAAGAGGAAGAGGAGGGTCAGTTTTCACAAAGCACACTCCAGGCTGAGGCCCCGAGCCTTCTGCTGGCTGAAGGGCTCTCCTGCTGGAAAGCTGTTGGCCCATCCAGGGCCCAGCAGAAGTCTAGGCAAGGTAACCGGCGTGTGGCTGTACCCGTAGAGGTTCATGTCTCACAGAGGGAGCCGGTCACAGAGGTCAACGATGGTGCAGCTGAGGCCAGTGGTCTGGGAACTGGCCACTTCTGGCAACCTGTGCATGTTCTCCCTGTGTCTGAGAGTACTTGGAGTCCGGAGCAGTTTTCCCCACATACGTCCTTCTCTGAAGGTGCCACCGCGTGCGAGGCAGAGCCGCCTAGCAGAGAGCGTTCGACCCTGGAGGGGTGGCAAGGCAGAAAAGGTACACGCCAAAAGAGGGGTTCCGGCAGAGCCTTGGCCACTTGCAGGAGGGGGACCCGGGAAGTAAAGCCTGTCTTCAGGATTGTCTACACAGCTCTAGGAGAGCCTCACGAAGGAAGCTTCCAAGATCCACTGCGCAAGTGAAGGGTAGAGGTGGTGGGAAACTCCGCCTGGAGCCCGATGCCAGCCAACCGATGGGCACTTGCCTCTCTTGCTTGGAAGTCAGGGAGGGGCACTCATAACCTCCAGCTTTGACTTGAGTGGGCAGGCATTCAGAGGGGTTTCTTTCCCAAATCAGGAGGAGAGGAGAGGAAGGGATGACGGGGAAACACTTGACATTCTTTTAGTCCTTTTAGATCTGTGCTCGCTGGAGACTTGAGAGCGAGCCAGGAAACGAGAAAGTGGGCCAAGAAGCATCGGCAATTATGGGCGTTGATAGAGGGCTCCTGAACTGTCAGTGAGGGCCTGGGCTTGCACGCAAAAGGCCCCACGCAGTGGATTTTGGGAGCCAGGTAGATAGAGGCCACTTCTACTGGCGTGTGTTTTGTGTCTGGGCAGAGGTTTGTGTTTCTGAGCAGATCTCCAGTCCACGCCAACTCAGATGTCCCAAGCCTGGTCACAGGAGTGGAGAGGAAGACGCATGCAGGAGGCTTTCAGCTGAGGACCCCAGCAAGGAAGAAATGAACCAGGGACAGAGGGGCATCTGTGCAGGAGTACCCTGGGTCTCTGCCCTGTGGTATTACCCTGTTCCCATCACTGGGCATTGCTGGCGTGACTGCCCTGCTATGTTTTTCTGCTTTTGTGCTTGTTCTGTGGGTGATGGTGGTGGGATCCCTTGCAGTGAGTAGATTCAATAGGAGCATCAATCCCGTGTTCCAACTTGGAGGAGGACCAAGACGCCTGAGGGCCAGAAGAATTCTATTCAGGACCCCTGAGATGAGGTGGACCCCAGGTATTGTGCGGATTGTTAGAAGTTTTTTACTCATTTTCCTCATTGCTGAAGTGTTTGTATCTAATAAAGTCTTGGTTGTTGACTTGAGTCTCTCCTCTTCTGGGATGGGCTGGGTGTCTCAGATTGGGGCAGTGTGGGGAGCAGGGTGAAAAGGGGCCACCACCACGGGTTGAGGCCTGAGGTTTGACCAGCAGGATGCTTGGGGACACATGGAGAGTGCCTCCTCATCCCTGACCAGTCTATACCTTGCAGCCCTTTGGGGATCTCGAGGAAACTCGAATCCCACAAAGGCTGAGTCTGTCTGAGGAGAGCACTCAGTGGGCAAGTGTGCTCTGAGAAGCCGCCCACTCCCTGGGGCAGGCTCAGGAGACAGTGCCACTGAGCAGTGGGGAGAGGGCACCCTTGACCCAGAAACACTGAGTTGAGGAGCCCCTGGTGCCTGCAGGGACAGGGGATGGAGGAACCCGGCCTGCAGTCTTAAAGGAAGCAGAGCCTGCTCGCGGCTACCCAGCAAACTGCTGGAAGCTCCTGAGAAGGATGTGGTAGGATGGTGCTGGGACCCAGAGCCCATCAGCCCCGCATGATGTGACCCTGTACTGTGTGGCCACTTATTGGATGTCCTGTCAGGATGCACTTTGGGCCTGGGATGGGCCCCCACTGAAGTCCACTCTGCCTGGTTCAGGGTCATCGGGCCCATGTTTCCTCGGATGTGGCCACTAGCTATTTTCCTCTAGCTCCTCAGGTTTGGAGGTAGCTGAGCTGCCACAGGGGCTCTTTCCCTTTTTCAGACCCCACCCCACCCAGAAGACTAATCCCTTGCAGCAGAGGGCTTTGTGGTTGGAGAGAGAGTGCCCTACCCGTGCCAGCCCTTGCTATGTGCATCCTTAGTTTCTGTTGCCGCCAAGCTGTGCCCGATCTGTAGGCTATGTGGGTTACCCTGCCATCAGAGAGCGGGGGTACACCGGGGATCTCCAAGGAAAGATCTGGGCAGTGTGTGTGTGTGTGGGGGAGTGTCTCAGCGGAGCGCCAGGCTCCATGGGGTCAGGCTGAGGGCGTCTGGGCTGGGGGCTGGGCGAGCCGGTTCGCCCGGGGTGGCGGGAGGGGCTCTCGAGCAGCCGTTGTCCACCTGGGGGCCTCCACCAAGGCCGGAGGGATTCTCCTTGAGACCGATGTTGGGTGAGGGGTGCAATGGGGCCTCGGAGAGCTCCAGCTGCGGGTGTTGGGGGATCCAGCCCAGTGCTGTGGGGGGCAGCGGGTGGGCTGTGGGGCCCCACGGCTCTTGGGCCCTGCAGCAGCGGGCCAGTGTGAGCGACCTCTGCAGGCGACTGAACGTCAGCTTGCAAGAGAGGGTGCTATGTGATGCCTTTTGGATCACCCCGGGCCCCTAGCCCTGTTTCTTCTGCTTATTGGGTGTCAAGCACTAGTGTGCCGGCGCCTTTCTCATGTCTGCGGGGAGCCAGGCGAGTCTAGGCCTGGGAGGCCAAAGGGGAGGCCCCAGGTGGAGTTCACAGATCATCCAAGAGTGCGAATCAAAACACAGACACAAGGCCAGCTCGCGTAGCCCACTCCGCGCGAGCCTGCGTGTGCACCCTCTTGTGTGCGCCCAGATGCCCGCCTTACTCCCCAGGCAGGGCTGGGTTCGGCGCACCTGGCGAAACAGCGGCCCGCAGGGAATTCTGGCCGCTCTCCTGCGCCACAAAGCCAAACGGCCACCGTCAGCGCGGCCTCGGCGCCGCGCTCCTGCGGCCGTACCGGCGACGGTCTGCAGGAGGCGCTCGAAGATCACGAATGGCCCGCAGCATCCTCCCTCTGCGCTCTGGCCCCGCGTCCCTCCCCCGCCCGGTCGGGCAGCGGTGGTCTCGCCCACTCGAGCTCAGTCGCCGGGTTCAGCTTCGGAGGCGGCGGAAGCGAGCTGGTGCTTGACGCAGCCGGGCCATTTAGACGTGATGCCCGGGCGTGGGTGGCCTGCTGGACCGGAGACTGGCCTTAGAGCTGCCCCGGGCCATCTGCCTGCGCTCGTCCCTGGTTTCCAGGAGACGCGAGTGAGCGCTAAGGGAGCAAGGACACCCAGTAGAGCCCTCAGCTAATACCCAGGGATTAGGGGCCCCATCCTGGTTGAGGCAGAGGCCGAGCAGGGAAAGGAGATGGCCTTGGGTTGGCCTCTTCGGGACGTCTCCGTCCTCACTTCCGGGCAGCGTACTACTTCTGAGTCATTGGTGCTCTGCCGTCAGAGCCTTGACGAGCTAATGGAGGGGGAGGGGCGCGCAGACTGAGGGCGATTCTCAGAGTCTATCCACGGGCCTCTCTTTCATCTTATTTCCTGCATCACCCCTCTGCAATCTGTCTGACGGTGCTCGCTCGAGCCATTTATGCAACACTTGGAAATAGACCAAAGATCTTTAACATCTTTTCATGCCCAGACAGACCCTCTTTATCAATTAACTAAACCAAACTTAACTGCTGTGGGAATAAAAAGTGGGCACAAGTGAACTCTCTCAATGATTTCCTCTTGGGAAAAAAAAACCCCAAAACGTCTGAGTATGGAAGCGTTGTGATAGACACCCCCACCCTCCAGTCTCTCCTGGAAGCTATTTTGGTAGATAGAGGGACATTCACACCAGGGCATGGGATCCTTCTAACATCTTTAGAAACGTTAACTCGTTAGAGTATTTCCTACAGTATCCCTGCCTCAACCCTCCAAAGTCCAAATGCAATTTTTCTGGGTTCAAACAGAATGTGGAGAAGTGCCAACAGCCTGCCAAAGACAAATGTGCTGTCTCTCCCTAACTTAACTACAAATGTAAACTTCTCTTTGAAAGTTCCCTGGTTGCCAAAATGACTTACGCACTGAAGTTTGAATGAGGCATCATCGCACACAGTGACAGTGGTATACATCAAGACTAGAAACAACCAGTGTTGGCGAACTGTAAGAAAGGAACTCTCATTCACTGCCAGTGCCAATGTGGTCTCATTTGCCTCCTGCGGAAGGCAGTGTGGATACTTCTCCCAAAAGTTGCTATAGAAATAAGAAGGTAGGAGAGAAATCAAGGTGGAGAGTATGACAAGGAGGACGGGAGATATGAGGGGCAGGAGTTAGGGGCCTGGGGCACATCAATGGTTAAAGCCATGGTATGTGTATACATCTAGACCACAGGACCGATAGCACTGTGAGCAGGAGACCTGATCTATGATAACCAAACTGAAAAATGTGCCCTTGTAGGACGCAGGCTGGGGAGTGGAGAGCAGAGAACCTGGGTACATTGGTGGAAGGAAGCTGACGCTAGTGTCGGAAACTTGTAAGCCTTAAACTCTATTATGAATAATTTACTAAACCACAGTCCTTAATAAACATTTTAAATGTTGAAAGTTTTTTATTGAGATTCTGTGGTTTCTAATACTGTTAATAATGGTTTCTCATGCACATCATTCCAATACCACATTTATCACCAGCGCAACCACCTCTCCCCGAGGACCTCAACACTCCTCCCACCCCTCACCCCCAACTCAGCTGTATGGCTCATATTGCCTTTGATCCTTAAGTTCCTCATATGAGAGAGATTACTTTCTCTAGATGCCTTTTTGTCTGACTGACTCCATTCAACATGATC